CCTAAACCCTAAACCCTAAACCCTAAACCCTAAACCCTAAACCCTAAACCCTACACCAACTTGCCACTAGGACACGGCGTAGCGGCGGAGCTGTAGGAGCTCCTCTCAGGCCATGAGAGGGTCAGAACAGCTGGAGGAAGGGATTTCTCAAAGGTATGTAGAGAAGGCTGGGTTTTGGGTTTTAGGGTTTGGGGGTTTTGGGGTTTGGGGTTTAGGGTTTAGGGTTTAGGGTTTAGGGTTTAGGGTTTAGGGTTTGGGGCTTAGGGCTTAGGGTTTCTCAAACTAGGGGACTCCCTACACCCCCCTCTAACCCGAACTTCGAGATCCCCCCAAAAAAGAGTATACCCGCTTCAACCTGTCGAAGGAGGGGCGGAGCCGGCTTCGGGCTATAACCCCCTCAAGTCTATACAGAAGTTGCAGAAGCACCCAAAGAAACCCGGAGATTCCCGAAAAGACCTTAAACTTTGAAACCTAAACCTCACTGAAAAGATCCGGCGGGTGGGGGGGGGGGGACAGTGACAGAGGCCCTTCTCCTCTTTCTGGTCCGCAGCTCAAATGCACAATCAGTATGTGCTATGGGGTCTTGCGCGCACAGTGATATTATACTGTTGCAAGGCAGCCAAAATGCAGAGCTGATACCCGAATCTGGTGGAGCGCTACTGGAGTTCGCTGTGCAATTTCGTGCATTAGGTCCAGGGTCCATGGTTTAGGCTGTGCTCCACTGCACTCGGAGCGCATCCTCAGCCTCCTATTTCTTTCGCACCCGACAGTCCTAAGTCTTAAACCCAACCGCTGAACCCGACCTAGGATATCCTGTGTGACGACCCCAAAAAATATGAAGCCCTCAAACCCCAAAACCCTCAGATTCCACCCTTTACCCTAAAAGGGTTTTGACATAGGATTTAGGGTTCAGGGTTTAGGGTTCCCTTAACCCTCGCCCCACCCGTCGGAGGGCGCCAAGCCAATCCCGGCGAAGGGCCGCGGACGCAGCTTTAGCCTTCGGCACAGCTTTTGGGTGTTTAGCGTTTACGGTTTAGGGTTTAGCGTTTAGGGTTTAGGGTTTAGGGTTTGGGTGTGAGCTTAGGTTCAGGGTTTCGGTTCAAGGTGTAGAGGCTCACGGCTTGACTAGTTCAATATTTTTACCCGTTTAGGGTGCAGGGCTTGAAGAAGTTATAGACTAGTTTAAGGGCTTGAGCATTCCGCAGATCGAGGTCAAGGCGTGCCGAAAGTATCTGCACCAACAGCATGAGACTTCAAGCGCGGTTTGGGGTTCAGGGTTTAGGGTGTGGGGGTGTAAGGTTTGGGATTTAGGTCGAGGGTGTAGGGTAGCAGGGCCCTGCTAGACCCCTAGCACTGAGCCTATCAACCCTAGAAAACATACAAAGAGCTACAAACACTCCACACCCCATAAACCCTACAGACCCCATAAAGCCTACAAACACTAGAACTCCCACACCCTGGAACAAAAACGAAGACCGACATCCGCACCCTGAACCCTAAACCCTGCTCCCTAAAGCCTGAACCCAAACCAGAAGCCCTCTAAACCAAAAAACTAAACCCTAAACCCTGTACACCCTAACCGACCCTAAACGCTCTAAACCCTAGACCCTTCAAACCCAAGACCCTTTAAAATCTTTATCTAAATCATAAGCCCTTAAAACCCTAAACCCTATAAACCCCGAACCCTTAAAACACTGAACCCTTAAACCCTGTACCCTGAACCCTTAACAGCCTGAACCCTTAACACGCTGAAGCCTAAACACCCTGCACCCTACACCCTAAGCCCTAAGCCCTAAGCCCTAAGCCCTAAACCCTAAACCCTAAACCCTAAACCCAGCCTCCGGGCATTCCAGCAGTCGCTGCGGGTTGCAGCCGAGCACCTTCGGCAACGGCACCTTCACAGGGTATCCTGAACACCCAACTCGACGCCCGAAGCCGGTTTAGGTTTTAGGGTTTAGGGCTAGGGTTTAGGGTTTAGGGTTTAGAGCTGGGGGTTTAGGATTTAGGGTCTAGGGTCTAGGGTTTAGGGTTTAGGGTTTAGGTTTAGGGTTTAGGGTTTAGGGTTTAGGCCTAGGGTTTAACATAGCAGCCGCTAGACTGCAGAAGTGATCCGCGCTCGTTTCTCCGATGTTCTGATGCTCTTGTGCACCGCCGCCATCAAAAACGGGAGTCCGAACTCAATGGGGTTTACGAAAATAAGGGACCCCAAGACAGACCCCCAAAAAGTAGAATCCCCTTATGATAAGGACCCCAATAAGGTGCCCGTAATTTCGGAAACCGCACAAGCGTCCTGAGCCCCGAAAACCTTCACGCAGTGGACCAGCTGGGTTGGTTTCTGAAAATCCCCAAACCCTAATAACCCTGATAACCCTATGATTAAGACTCGTACCCCTAAGGTTGTACCCCTGAAAGGTTCCCCTCAATATACTCCTAGACTCCTAGTATGGCTCTTATACTACCTAAGGATCTTTATAAAAAAAGGGGTCCACAAAACCCGATAATACAAACTGAAGGGTCCAAAGTACAACCTCTAGACTTTCCAGGGTTGCGCAGGCAATGTCTCTAGATTTTTGATTTTGGGTTTAGGGTTTTTGGGTTCAGGTCCTAAACCTTACCCGCTGGGGCCATCGCGGTTCAGCGAGAACAACGCGGTTTCCGAAAGAAGGTTTTGCACGATGCTTTTTTTTCATACATTTTACGGGTCTCTACTAGCCGTCCTGAAAAGGGATTACAGTACCCCCTATGGTAATCCCTAGTAAGGACTGTAACTCTAAACCCTAAACCCTAAAGTAGAAGGGAGAACATCCCCAGAGCTGCATTCTATGTTCTGAACCATCAAACTCAAACAACCTCAATTGCCATCCTCTAGCCTTTGGAAGAAACCAAGTCCCAACCCGAAGTTTCGACCTCAAGCCCTCAAGCCAACACCCAACCATGCCCCCTTCGAATCCTTCCACCTCCAGCGTGTGCAACGCCTGGATATGTTCTTTGCACGGTGCTGCCAGGACCTTCCGGACAAAATCCCTTCTCTCTCTCTCTCTCTCCCTCTCTCTCTCGCCCGCTCTCGCTCCTTACTATTGCAGTCACTATCTAAACCCTTAACCCTAAACCCTATAAACCCTAAGCCCCCCTGAGCTTCTATCCCGTAGGGCGTGAGCAACTCTCAGACCAGCTTACAAGCCAACCAAATATTAGAATGGATCTTGTGGGAGTTTTTGTGGCAGTCGAACAAGAGCTTGCATAAGGGGATAGTATGGGTAGTTGTTTAGGTTCCTGTATTATCTATCTTGGCAAGTCTTTAGACAGGAAGACTTTGTTTTGGCTTGGCGTCTAGCCCGCCAAGCCTTCTCAAGATGTGTCACCAGCATGCACTGGGTGTCAGCAGCAGCAGCAATGGCCATGGCGTTCTTCAAGTGCTATGGATTTTTCTGAAGCCCAAGACCTACCTCGACGAGTTTCGCGCGGGCGAAATGATCATGAGGGATCAGTGTATGTGAATTCTAACCAGAGGCCTGCAGCCTTGCCCCTAAACCCTTAACCTTATCCTCAACATCTTTCGGCCGATAGCCATGCGCACTGCTCCACCAGACTCAAGCCGAGGGCACCGCGCGGGCGGTTTGGGGTTTCGGGCAGGGCTTTCGGGCCTTCTAGGAAGGGTACCTACTTCCCCCACGGTCCTGCTTGCTCAAAAGTTCTAGGACCCAACATGGCTACTTGGAGGTTCGTGGTACCTATTAACGCATTCTAACTGTACTTACAACTCACAGATAAGCCCCTTAAGTGCCCGAATGTGGTTATAAGTACAGTTATAGGTACAGTTATAATTTGTGAATAAGTACCATGAACCTCCAAGTAGGCTCAACCGATAACCAAGCTTTTGCCGCAACAGTTTTTGGTGCATTCTTAGGGCAATTACATGGCCCCTTAGTATGGGCCCTTAAAAGAGGACCCCTTATATACCCCTTATATACCCTAGACAACCGAAGGGCCGATACTTCAGAATCCTTCAAAGGAGGTAAGGGACCATATGAAGGGCCCGTTTAACTACCCTGAGGTCCCTGAGACTTCTACACCCCACCCCCCAACCATGGCCTCTCATGAACTGACAACGATGCTACTGCTCCTAGGGAATGGTTTACGAAAATAAGCCGAATATAGCCCCCAAGCGTAGGATTCCCTTAGAATAAGGACCCCAATAAAGCTACCCCTAACTTCGGAAGCCCCCGCATAGTAATCGTGCTGAGGGCACTGCTGCTGACAAGTGGCGGATTGATTTGAATTACCCTGCATAAGCCCCCCCCCCCCCAAAAGGCTTACAAGAGCAAGACTGGGCAGCTAATCACCCTACTACTCTCCCCTTTCAATGTAAGGGAAATATGGTCCCTTACCTCCCCTGAAGGGTTCTGAAGTATGGGCCCTTGGGTTGTATAGGGTACATCAGGGGTATGTAAGGGGTGTAACTACCCGAAGATTCACACCCTGAAGCCCTTAAGCCCTGAAGCCCTAAGCCCTAACCCCTAAACCCTACCTATCCTAATCCTACCTTTCGGGTTCATCTGGGCCTACTGCTTCCTGATGTTCTTCCTTCACGTGGCTCTACCGCTGCTCGAGGTTTGCGCGGGCTGTGCGCAAAGAGGCATCAGATCGCCTCCCTGTACAACTGAGGGTTTAGGGTTTAGGGTTGTAGGGTTTGGGGTTTAGGGTTGGCTTATCGGAGTTAGTAGGGGTAGGTGTGGTTCGACCCGGAGGACTACATGAAGCCTTGAAGGTTTTCTGTATTGTCCGAAGACGATTGTCAGATTTGTAGTAGCTATTCGTCCTCCAGGCAACAAGGCTGCGGAAAGAGGATTGTGGAGCACGTCTCTGTACATCGCAGCTCCTGCTGTGCGTGGCCGCCATAGCAGCCAAGCAGAGAATCAAGCCGAGGGTCCTCTCGACCCTCAACCATAAATTAGGGTAGCATTCCAGGATGCAGCTGTACAGATGGCCGGCGGAGATCTTCAGAAGAACCCTGCATTCGGTGCTTTGACCTTCTTCGTGGGTCGCGGGAACGGCTTGCGCACTCCATCCTTGAAGATGACGGGCTTGTACACATCTGGCACGCTTCGATGCATGACTGGGCTGTTCCTGTAACGTTCCACGTGGGCCTGAGGCGTGAAGCAGAAGAGCTGCAAGCCCCGATGACGCGGATTAGGCTGACCCCTAGATGTCTACTACTCAACTTCCGATGTGCAGAAACCTGAAACCCCCAAGACCCGACACCTTCAAGGTAAACCCTAAACCCTAAACCCTAAACCCTGAACCCTAAACCCTAAACCCTAAACCCTAAACCCTAAACCCTAAACCCTAAACCCTAAGCCCTACCCCACAGATCTTGCCTTGAAACCTTGGTGCGGGCCGCTCCATCTCACCTGCAGCGCTAGTGCTTAGAGCCATTTGAGGGTTTAGGGTTTAGGGTTTAGGGTTTAGGGTTTAGGGTTTAGGGTTTAGGGTGTTCAGGGTTTAGGGTTTGTATTGGGGCTTCGGGCCTTAGACTGGGACCTTGAGAGTTTACCACGGGCAGCATCTCCCATCCTTACTTGAGGGTTCGTGTGCCCAGATTTCGGGTAACGCACGAAATCAGCCGGTGCCCTACCATGAACCCTACACCCTAACCCTAAACCTTAAACTCTAAACCCTAAATCCTAAACCTCCTTCAAAAACTCAAAACCCTGAACTCACCCTCGAAGCCTGAACCCTAGCGTATGCGATATTTGCATGCCCCTTAACACCTTCTGACAGACGTATACCTGAATATGAACCGCTTAAACCCAATAAGGGAAAACATGAAAAATGTCCCGAGGACCTACCCTGTTTAGGATTCAGGGTGTAGGATTGAGGGTTTAGGATTAAACATGTCCCAAGGGCCTTATGTAGAGTCATGTAGAGGCTGGAAGAATGACCAGCAGCGTTCCCTTCGGGTCCCTTTATGGATATACTATCATCACCCCCCAAACCACATTCCGATTATTCAGGCCCCTATATTACCAGGGATAAGAGCCCTACTACTCCTTAAGGCTCCCTAAGCTTCCCTAAGGGTTTAGCAATTCAGGGTTTAGGGTTTAGGGTTTAGGGTTTAGGGTTTAGGGTTTAGGGTTTAGGGTTTAGGGTTTAGGGTTTAGGGTTTAGGAGCCCCCCTTCCCTTAAGAACCCCTAATAAAGCGAGGATAAGAGCCCTGCCTGACAGACCTTGGCTGTGGGCAGGTCCCAGTCCGTGAAGCCGTCGAAGGCCGTCCACAAGTCCTCCACAGCCCTGGCGTCCACCAGGTTCACGAAGGCATAGCCTTGCGGTTTAGGGTTTAGGGCTTAGGGTTTAGGGTTAAGGGTTAGGGGTTTAGGGTTAGGGGTTTAGGGTTCAGGGTTCAGTGTTCAGGGTGTAGGGCTTTGGGGTCTCAGCTAGGGATTTGGTGACGTCCCGAAACTTGCAAAACCCTTTTTGAGACGAAACGCTGAGCCTAAAGCCCAAGCCTCTGACGACTCGAGTTTTTTGAGGACCCAAGATGTCCCGACCTTGCGGACTACGTAAGTCTAGGTATCAGAAGGCCCTTAACACTAGATAGTTGGTTCCTTTGACCCTGAACCCTAAACCCTAAACCCTCAACCCTAAACCCTAAACCCCAAACCCCAAACCCCAAACCCTAAACCCTAAACCCTAAACCCTAAACCTCAAGAATGGCGCCGGGCGGCCAAGGTTGGCGTCCCTGTAGAAGTCGCAGGGAAGGTAGGCGAAGTCGTAGCGCCCCGCGAAGTCGTGCTGGTCCAGCAGCTTCAGGAACCTATACTCCCCTTAGGACCCTTAAGAAAAATAAAAACCTAAACCCTAAACCCTAAACCCTAAACCCTAAACCCTAAACCCTAAACCCTAAACCCTAAACCCTAAACGCAAGTAGAGGAACATGTCGCGCGTCAGGTTGTTGGGAATATTCCGCAGCATCACCGTGGTGCGCTGCTCGACCTCTCTTGCTGGGCTGCACTCCTGGGGATTCTCGACCACGCTTGCCTTGCGGGGGGTTTAGGGTTTAGGGTTTAGGGTTTAGGGTTTAGGGTTTAGGGTTTAGGGTTTAGGGTTGAGGGTTTAGGGTTGAGGGTTTAGGGTTGGCGGTCCTCCTGTTGCTTGGCATGGTCGTCGCTGAACCTCCCAGGCTCGTACGCCTGCTGGGGAGGCGCCGCCACCAAGGCAGACTCCGTCTGCGCTCGGCGCAGGCGCCGGTACTTCTGCAGGAGCCCGCAGCCGTCATCCAAGTCGATGAAGGTGCTCCTCACGACCACGTTGCATGGGCCCTTCTCTTCACAGGCCTCCGCACCTAGCATACCTATACTGAACTTAGAGAACCCTTGGCAAAACTATCATTTTAGCTGCTTCTTAGGAATTAAAGTACCCAAGATTTAAGTTTGAAATTAAAAACTCTTTCCAAGTATCCCTAAGATACGAGGTGAGGAAACCTGCGAGGGGTGAGAGTCCGTCACGGTCTCGACGTCACTGTGGTCACTGTCATGGGCCGCCGTGCTCTCGGCGTCGCTGTGCATGTCGTTCTTCAGCTTCTTTACCTATACTGAACTTGGAATTAGGGTTTAGGGTTTAGGGTTTAGGGATACTGAACTTGGAACCCGAGCAAAATTACAATCTTGTCTGTTTCTTGGGAATATTAGAGTACCCAAAAAACATTTTAAAAATGTTCTCAAGCATCCCGAAGTTACAGGGGCCATCAATGGGCTGGGAAGGCATGACATGGCAGCAAAGGCTAAGGCGGCAAACGCGCTAGGCCGTCTCGACTAGTCGACAACTGAAGCGCTGAGGGCCCAACATCCCGCGGAAGAGGCTTGACGAGAATATGGCCCCTTAAGAAGCCTCCCAAAAATGTTAGGGTTGAGGGTTTAGGGTTTAGGGTTTAGGGTTTGGGGTTTGGGGTTTGGGGTTTGGGGTTTGGGGTTTGGGGTTTGGGGTTTGGGGTTTGGGGTTTGGGAATATGATCCTCTTAAATCCGAGAAGGGAAGATGCAAAATGTCCCAAGGCCTACCTAGTTGAGGTTGAAGCCTTCTTCTTCTGGCAGCCACGACGGGCTGGGACAAAGATGAGTCTGAGTGCATGTTCCTGTGCTCCCCTAAGGGTCCAAGTACCTTATTACATACTTGGGCCCCAAAGTCCCTAATTATATTGGAAGTACTTTAAGGCCCAAGTACTCAATATTTGGGTACATGGACCCTTAGGGTTCCGTCCCAACCTTCACAACTTGGCAGCATATGTGGCAAGGGGTAGTAAGGGGTGCGCCAGGGGAGGGGTTGGCAGGTAGGTACACGATGGCTTCGAGAGTGCACGAAATTGAGCCCTGCAGACTATAGTGGGGGTTGTCGCAGAGGCCAACCAGAACCCAACCTTCCCTATATACAGATACCTTAAGGCTTCATCTGGCCGCCCGGTTATGCCGCTGCTGGAGGTTTGCGGGACAATGCTTGACGTTGAATCATTCGCTGATGGCAGCTAGAGCTGCGGTACTTGGCAGCTCAAGTCATAGCCCGACACACCCAAGATCCTCGACCTCTTCGAGTCAGGGTTGAGTCCACCCTGAAACCCTAAACCCTAAACCCTAAACCCTAAACCCTAAACCCTAAACCCTAAACCCTAAACCCTAAACCCTAAAACCCTAACCCTGAAACCAAAAGAGACCCCAGGCCGCTTCTGTTTCATGCCCGGGCAGGCGAGGAGCTGTCAAGCGTCCGCTTGACCATCTCAAGGCAGCGCACGGCTGTGCTGAGATACGCCCCTCCTGCGCTTCGAAGACGTAGGGTTGAATCAGGGTTTAGGGTTTAACCCTAAACCCTAAACCCGAAACCCTAAACCATAAACCCCAAACAGGGTTTAGGGGTTGAGGGTTGGGGCTTCAGGTGTAGGAACCCATGTGGAGCTGATGGGTTTAGGGTTCAGGGTTCAGGGTGCAGGGCTTTCGAACCCGAAGCGCTAAACCCAAAACCACTAAACCAATATCGGGAGGAGGTAGCAAAACTGATGTTGCCCGCTATCGCCCGCAGCGCGCATGAGCAAAGAGCCGTCGAAACCCAACAGGAACCCCAAGCCCTAAACCCCGAAACCCCAAAAAACCCAAAAACCCCCAAAACACCAAACAACCCAAAAAAACAAAAAAAAAAAAAAAACAAAAACCCAAAACCCTAAAACCGCAAAACTGCAAAACCCACAAGATACACTCTTCCATGAGCCCTGAGCATCGCTCTGGGAGCTGAGGGTCCTCCAAAGAGGTTGTAGTGGTTGAGCTGGTGGTAAGCCTTCCCATCTAACCCCCTGAACCCGAAACCCTAAACTCTAAACCCTCAACCCTAAACCCTAAACCCTAAACCCTAAACCCTGTTTGAGACAGGCACTTCTCAGTGACTTATGGTCCCCCAGGATCAAACCGGGATCAAAGTAGTATGAGGTATAGAGCCCTAAACCCTAAACCCTAAACATGTGGTACTGATCAGTACAGGAGACGCGGCCAGTACAAATTCCGAGACCCTCCTACACCTGAACCCTAAACCCCAAACCTGAACCCTAAACCCCAAACCCTGAACCCTGAACCCTAAACCCTGAACCCTAAACCCTAAACATGCGGCGCCAAGCAGTGGATTTTGGAGTTAGACCGCAGGCGTTTTTTATAGAAACGCTTGGGCCCCACCGATGGGCATCCTAAACCCCCCTAAACCCTGAAGCCCTAAACCCTAAACCCCTAAACCCGGAAGCCCTAAACCCTAAACCCTGAACCCTAAACCCTAAACCCTAAACCCCAAACCCCTAAACCCTGAAGCCCTAAACCCTAAACCCCTAAACCCCTAAACCCCCAAACCCTGTGAACCCTAAACCCTAAACCCTAAACCCTAAACCCTAAACCCTAAACCCCTAAACCCCAAACCCCCAAACTCTAAACCCCCAAACCCTCTTAACCCTGAACAACGAGCCCCTGGGAGCCAGCCTGGTACAAGGGCTTCCGCTCCTGCGGGCATGAGCCCCATGGAAGGTTCTCGTTCAAGGCCTTCTTTGGTGGGGGTTTAGGGTATAGGGCTATAGGGTTATAGGGTTATAGGGTTTAGGGTTTAGGGTTTAGGGTTTTGGGTTTAGGGTTTAGGGCTTAGGGCTTAGGGTTTAGGGTTTAGGGTTTAGGGTTTGGCCTTCTTTGGTGAATAGGTGCCCCTTACGTACGATGATGACGGGCACGCCCCGTGCGGTCGAGGCTGAAAACCC